ATGCTGTTGCATATTGTTACTTTGCTTTAGCATGATGTATCGCAATTCTACGATACGTCTAGTGTTTGTGGTGCTTTTATTTGGTTTGAAGATATTAGAATTTGCATTTCTAGAGGCGAAAGTTGGTTTTATTTTTTTGGGTGAAGGAAAGAGTGACTTATAGTAAACTATATCAATTTATTAAAAAAATTATATATTTTTAAAACAGTTTTTAAAACTTCATTGCATCTGTATCTGTAACATGATATTTGTGAATTGTATTGTGAAATAATATATATGCATGTATGTAGTGTATATATGTATTGTATGTGTATAAAAAACATTCAGTATTATAAAATTCGGTATCATTTGCTTCTCTTCAAGAATCTTATATTCTTCAAATTTTGAAAAATATTTAAATAACTTTTGAATTTTAAGGTAAACTATTTCTATACACATATTAATCTATATAAGCATAAACCACTTTGGCATTTTTTAATATTATTTTACTAATTATTCCTGTCAAATATGGAATGAATGAGATTTTACTATTTCTAATTTTGTTATATCTTTGTATCTAAAGATACTGAATATTGCACTTCATACATTTTTTATATTCTCATATTATGAGTTTTAATTTTGTGTTGATTTATTAATGTTTTGTATGAGTTTAGCTGAATATAAATAACTAAATTGAAATAAAATAATAATGTTCAAAAAAAAATATTATTTTTACATACGAGTATATCTTCAAATAAATGTATATTAATTTGCCCACTCCTTGCTTGTTTAAAATTTAAACAAACTTACAAAATAAAAAAATTCATATATACGTTAACGTTTTAATTAGTTATAAATGAAATATTGTGCTAAATATGGCATTATAACAATTCGTGATAATTCATAGAATCTTGATCTTGTTAAAAACTATGACCTTTAATCATCTGCCACGTTTTGAGATGAAACCTTAACCTTGAAATGCCTTTTTACATAATTCAAAGCAGCGTGGTTTGAAAGCTTTACCAATGAAATCGATACATTTATCTATATGTTGGTTTCGTTACGTTTACCAACATTCTATACAATCTAAAGACCACAAACATAACACGGTAACCAATTAATCCAATTGCTCTGATGTTGATGCTGCCCATGATTATGCTGATAATGGTTTCGATGGCGAGGATGTTTGTAATAGTGATGGTGATGGTGATGGTTTAGTGCTTAATAATAATTCCTTTTCCAACACTTTTAATAATGATATTGAATTGCTTGTATCTGGTTAGTGTAACATCTGACAGCAACAGCAACGACGGATACAATGAAGCTTATTCGGTCGGTATCTCTTGCGAATGTTTTAACTGTGGCTTGTATTTATGCCCTTTTTCCTCACATTTTATATTTATAATATATACTATTTTAATGAAGTATACGTTTTTCTACCTCTCTTCTTGCCAACAAACAATGCCAACAGTGAAAAGTTCTGTAATATATTTCTTATAACATTTTATTATTAATTTAATATTTCTTTTTATTCTGAGCGTTACTTTTGGTTTTTTAAATAAATGCAATTTAATACGGCAAACAAAATATATCGACAACAACACTAAATACAACAGCACCAACAGCAGCAAAAGCAGCAATAGCAGCAACAACTGCTACACCAGCAGCAATAGCAGCAACAAGTACAACATAGTTGAACTATAAAATTTATAGGGAGATAAGGCAATTTGCAATTATTTCAGCTCATTTGTAAGACTTCATTTCTGCATAAATGGCAAGATGTTGGTGTTGTTGGGTTTGTTGCTGTTGTTGTTGATATTGTTGTTGTTGTTGTTGTTGATGTTGTTAATGCTGGTGCAATTGCTTCTTGTCGTTGCTTTTACTTATTGAAGTCGCTGTTGCTGTTGCTGTTGCATTTGCTGGACATCATTTACTTGGCTGCTGCGATAACCCCGCTAAGACCTTAACACGCTTTCATGTAGCTCGTATGTTTTCCACATTTTTACAAGCTGATATTTTTGGTGTGATGCGAGATGTTCTCTTTGTGTCTTTCGATTAAGAAAATTCAAATAAAAATATTAGAATGAAGTAAAAATTTGCAAACAACATTAAGAACATTTTGCTACTTTACACAGATTGTAGATAATTTTGAATTTTGTTACTCTTACAAGAAACCTGCTTTCATGTAATAAAAGGGCCAAGAAGTTATACAATGTTCGTGCGATTATAAATTGGTTTTTATATATTTAAGTAAAAATTTTTTCACAAACTTTTTACAAAATCTTAATATATATAAAAAATCTTAGTCGGCATGATTACATACAAGGAAATCATGGCTTGACTTTATTACACCATCGCCCAAATAAAATTAGTTCAGCTTCACGGAGAAGTCACAGAGTCGAATCATTACACTCATTGAAATATGGCATAACAAAAGCCTAAACCTTTCCAGTTAATTTAGTTAATATGAATATAAAAAATAAAAAAAAATAAAAAAAAAAATAAATTAAAATAAAAAAATTGTGCGACTGATCTTTTCATTGAGCGGTAACCTCTGTGCGCAGAGTTCAACGGCTTTAAAGCTTTTGTGTAATCCTCCACTCGTTCACTGCTTACAAGACGAGACCAAAATCGTTAGTACGTGCATCAATTTTTGACGTAATAAAATTATGATGCGACCGACGTCGTCTGTCTGCAGTGCTATTGTTTATTGAGACTATCTATCTACTATCTGCAGATTAGCATAATGGTGAGAGGTTGAAGTTGCTGCTGAAAATGTAGCATTCAATAGCAGAAACCAAAACAGAGAAAATACAACAGACAAATTTTTAAAATACGAGTAAACTTAAAATGTAAAGAAAAACTAAATTATATATATCTATACATATATATATTTACTGTTTAATGTGTATATAACAATATATATATTTATAAATGAATATATTTTAAAAAGAAAAAGTAACAAAATTGAAAAGAAATATTGAAAAAACGTGTTTCCTGCGCAACTCATGCCGAACAAAATTGGTGGAAAAATATTAGAGAGAATAAAAAATTAATGAACCAATCATGCAGAACTTTAAGGTTCAAATGAGGCTTCTTGTGCAATAACAGTTAGTGTTAGGCGCTAATGAATGAAACTTTTTAAGCTTTGCTGCAATCTGGTAGCATTTGCAATTGTTTTTGTAGTATTTTGAAATTGAATTGTAACAGTCAAGGAGTTGAATAGTAGTAGAGCGATCCACTCAATTCAAAGTTGAGCAGTTAAACGGAATTCGTGGTATTAGACGCCCTACACCGCATTTAACATAACAATGAATACACTATTTGGTTGGTTAATATAGCTAAGATTGGCTTAGAAGCTTTCTTAAACAAATGCCGTAATGATTTGACGTGTTCGCCAAGTCGTAGTCTGTAAATGTTTGAATGACAGGCTTCGAAGATACGCAACAAACTATAAATAAGTTGTGCGTGTCATGTCCAACCCATGTAATTACCTGTAATTTTCTTGAAATTTAAATATTTAATTCATTGTATCTACTTCACATATATTCATTGCATATATTATATTTATATGAATATTGATTATAGTACGAGAGTGAAATAAGAAAAGCATGTGGTAGCGCTTTTAATGGAGCTAATAAGTGGTTTTATTTTTAATCCTCTAGGGGTCTTAACTACTCACTGCTTAATTAAACAATAATAATATTTACTTATAAAAGATCCTTTTATTAACAAAATCACCGTCTTGGTAATAAGTTAAAATATATAGGCAGGGCTGATGATAATGAAACATGCTGTGCGGTGGTTTCGTAGTACTGAAAACATATTTATGCATTTTGGGTCACGTCACAGATGTTCAATTAAGCGAAAATGCTGTAAAAAGTAATTTTGGTTTATATTATACATTACAGATAACATATATGTTTAGAAATTATCATAAAGTGATGTTGATTGTATGGTTTTATATAGCTAAGCACGCACAACAGAAAGGCCTATAACTATTGACTGGTTCAAAATAAGCCTTTAATATGATTGAGATTAATACATAAAGATAAATGTCAAGTAAAAAATTAAATATAAAGGTTATTCTAATTACAAAAATGGGGTACGTTATTTTATGATACCTAACAGACGTATATGGAGTCGTTGTGATATGGACGCAGTTGTTTCTCTAAAAACCTATTATATTATACTTATCTTGTAGTAAATTGGTGTAGAGTAGAAAATCAAAATAGTTATTAATTATTATTACACACTGCAGAATTGTTTAGAGCAAATTCAAACAAAGAGAACCTCTGCGAAGTATTAAATTTGGGCATGCAGTTATATAGTCTATTTATACTTGCGAATTGTTTTGAGGAGATTAGTTTAAGGAACTGTAGTTTTAGGCAAACTATTTTTTTGATCTCTTTTATCAAATCCATTGCTTATATTTACATTACAAATTCTTTAAAACAAATATTATTATTAAATCTACACAGTGAGCTTACGTTTATAAATGTTAATAAAAGTTCAATTTGACTATATCCATGGGGCTTCAATTGGAATAGATATCCAATTAATATTAATATCTCATCTAGTGAATAATCCATATATGCTTGCTTCTATGAATGATAGTCGTAATTAAAAAGCATCTTATTAAAGAATTATCATCTTAAGTTTATTTTAACAAAAACGTACGATATCAATCGTGTAAAAACATGTTTTGAAAAATTATCTATGCAAGATACTCATTTTTTAGTATACATAATATTAGATCATTTTCTTAGCATGGTTTTATTATTCAATTATTAATTTTTTATGTTATCTTTCACTATTTCCTAATACTTATATAATATTATTAACCAATTATAGACGGTTGGAAATATTGAACCGGTTAATGCTCTAATATAATAGTTTCATTATAATATTTTAATAAAATATTGATTATGATATTTGGTTAGTAACACTTAATAGTGATCAATATACTAAAATAGAAAAACATTAATATCCTGATCTTTCTATATTTTATTTCAGCTTTTTAACTCGGTGCTTTTAATTCCCAATTGAAGTTTCTTATTCAGTTCAATCTCCACAAATATTAATAAGTATTTAATAGTGTAATAAAAAATCACAGCTAAAACCATATAAACAATGGCAGAACGACGTGGTACAAAAGCATTGGAATTATGGTGTCGTCGCATGACTGATGGTTATCCTGGTGTTAAAATTGATAATATGACTACATCATGGAGAGATGGTTTGGCATTTTGCGCAATGATTCATCATTTTCGTCCAGATTTAATGTAAGTATTACTACATAACTTTATATTTTTCTTCTTCATTTTAATATGTTATAATAATCATTATCTATAATTACACGAAGTTCAATGAACCGCATAGAATATCCAATCAAGAAGATTTAACTTAATTGAGTTCTTGATTGGGCATAAGTGTATGCAAATGTGACAATATGAAAGTAAATTAATTCGATGGAAGCTGATTAGGGTATAAGAATATGAAAACAGTATAAACGTAGAGGAATATTGTAAATTAACTGAATTTAAAATACACAATTTAATTTATTATAATGCAAATATTATATATTTTTCTTGAAATAATACACTTTACATAACAACAAGAAACTGTTTCTTTTAAAAACAGTTTTAAGCTTTATTTCACTTACATACGAAACCTATCTTATGAACCCATACTTAAGAAATGTAGAGAGTGTCATTCCCTTAATGAGACAGGTTGGGCAAACTATTTTAAAGCCGCCAAAATAATAAAGCCAGCGAACATAATTTTATGGCTAAAGGTCAAAGACACAAAATATGAAAATACAATTTTAAAAAATAAAGCTACAACAGATATTTATAGTTGGCAGTTATGGTCACGCAATAAAATAAAACCCACTATTTGTATATAGTTAATAACTTCTTGCTTAGTAATATAGAAAAAAATATGAAAGCTATTGCTTTGTTGTGCGACATGTGTTGATATATTGTACAACAGTATCACAAAAGAATATCTCGACAACAAATATTGTATTAATATATTTTTCAGACTTTCTAATACTATCATTCACGCCAACTCTGCACCTTTAAAGAATCTTTAACGGTGGAAAGATAACCTAAGATTGAAATCAATTCCAAGTTCCATTTAAGTCAAAGAAAATGTTAGGGAAACAATCAGTTGTTAGTTATATTCTTATAAGTTCCTTTTTTTAAATTGTTATTTAAGTAAACATTTTCCTATATGAAGTCTCAGAAATTATACTTTCAAAATATTAGCTGCATAGATAAAAGTTGAAAAGTTAAAATGTGTATCTTTATATAATCAAATCAATACTTCAAGTCACTTGTTTATGGAAGTCTTCTTTACTTCATAATATCTATTTTGTAAATTATTAAATTTTTATAAAATCTCCATTTTTTTTTGCTGTGGTATCTAAAAATATTTCTAGAAAATTGTGGATTAAAGTGCAACTATTCCATAAGTAACAGTAAGAACATTATTAAATATTCTCAGCACCTTTTAAAAATAATCGCAAAGAAAATCGATTAACATCATAGAACTTTGTTCTCAACAGTCAAAGTCAGGTTCTCCGAAGGCTCTTCAAGTAACATGGTACATCCGCAAAATGACCTGCTAAGAGACCTTAGAATAGATCCGGTCAAAAAATTCATAAGGGACAGAGCTCTGAAGCTATATGCGAAAACCGACAGGCTGCCCTACTTAGCACTATCTAATCTCAGAGTAATCACTAACCGCACGGACGGTACGCAGATCTTAGATCAATCATTGAATAATCATGAAGATTATCAGGAATACTCAAATTCGTCAATGAGATGGGCGGAACTCTGCAGAATCCCCCCAGCTATAATAGAGTAAAAGTGCTCAGATGCACTAACTCGGAAAAGGCTTAACATAACATAGGATTAATTTTAACAGTTTTGTGTCTGTCCAAAAAAAGTTGTTAATATATCTAAAAAACTTTATGAGTCTTATTTTTATTTTTTATGACAGTTCACATATTTTTACAATAATTCCAGCTATATTTCAAATAAACTCGCATAATGCTGAGAGTAGCGCAATAAGAACAAAAATTTCCTCTTCTAACTACTATAAGAAGTTTGTGAACAACTGCTGTTATTGCTCTTTTATGTAAAGTGTCAGCAACAAGAAATATGTTGCTATGACTATGACAACCCTTTGCTTTTTGTCAAACCTTTTTTTTTGAACTTTTCGGTAGTCTATTGTGTGCAGAACCTGCGTTTTAGGTTACCTTGTCGTGTACTATTGTTTGACAACTTCTTATTAAAGTCGTTTGACGGAAGCCTTTGTTTTGCTCTAACAACTCTAACAACTCTAACAATGTTGTGAACTGTTATGTTCTGTGAGTAAGTAAACAATTTAACGCTTGAAGTAGCAACAAATTTACTGTTCTAAATAACAATTTTGAAGATTTTCTAAAAATGATAAATTGTTGTTCGATATAATAGGGTGAATGGAGGTCTTAACAAACTGTGTACGAATAGTTTTCTGCATGAACTCATATACATAATTATTATTTTTTCACATGCAGATACATACACATAGGTATATGGTATTATATATACGAGCTTATTTAATGATAAATATAAAATGTTGCAGAATTTTATGCCAATTTAGAGAAAATAAAGTTTAGGTTTGTATTGGATAAATGATGAAATGTAGTTAATAAGAATTTGGGTTAAAACTTAATAGGTTTAAGCAAGTCTTTAACAACGATTTTGTGGTTTTTAGCAATTTTACCTAAGTGGCTTAGAAAACTTGTTTTCTTAATAAAAATGTGCTAATTTTCAACAAATTTCGCTAAAACGAAGTTTTTGCTATGCCCAAAGTGGTTTTAAGTTTGAATGACAAACGGATATACTAGGTATATTGTATTAATTTTCATGTAGTAGTTAGTTTTAATTATTTTAATTACGTATTTAAATACGAATATTATATTTAGCCACACCAATGTATTTCTTAATACTAGAAGTGATTTTAGTGCTACTGAAAAAAAGCTTAAACTTTAGTTTAACGTGAAGTGTTATGATTTAATATAGTGATAAAAAATATAGCTGTATCTTTACTTCAAATTTGTAATAACAATTAGTATAAGTCTATCAAAATCAGTTCTATGGTTAATACATAAATTTTAACGAGACTCATGATTCTTAAACTAATGAAAAATTGTGAAATACAGCACTCAAAAGTTAATTCTACTATGTCAATTATATTAATTACTCATAAATACAACAATTTACATTATTAAAACTAATGTTATTTATATATGAAAACTTACTGTTTATTTATGTTGAAACAAGTTAAAAAATCTCATGTCAATATATACTTTTTTCAGTAATAATACTAGTTTATTTTTGTTTTTACTGTACATAAACATTTAGTCTTGTATATACTATATACCATAATTATTTTATCGATTTCTCACTCATGAAAATACGCTTAATTATAGTTCACTGCCAACTTAATACAAATATTTTTAATGGCAATCAATAGTTTCGCTTATTTTCTAATAACACTTAAATTGTTGTGTATCTCAGTTAATTATAGAGTATCTTAGTTCTTTGTACACCAGGTTTTGGTATATAAACTAGTTTTGAATGCAGTTGCGCATGCGCTTAACCTACATTTTTATGTACATAATTTTAATTAAAAATAAAACAAAAACAAAAACAAAAATAATAAAATAAAAAATAGTAAAAAGTGGAATAAATTTGAAGTTTTTATTTTATTGCCTTATAAAACAAAAAAACAATAAACATAAAAACGACAAACAAATAAACGTGATTTTTATTAAATTATGCGAAGATCTTAGAACGTGTTTTCTGATAAATAAAAGTAAGAAGCTGCTGCGTCTTTAATCATTTAAAATACTAAATTTTATTTGGCAACTCATCAAAATGTTTGTGGAAAGTTGAAAATGTTTGATCAACAATTTATGTCCAGCCGCACTTAATCTAAAGCCGAAGTTTATAGCAGTTGAAGCGATACAAAAACTGCGTATGTAACTATGCAAATTTACGTACTCATTCAGTTATTGCATAGTTATAGAATAGTGCAGTAAACATATAGTATAGTATAGAATAGCAATCAGTGTTTATGATATCATATGAAAGTACATAGACATCTTCACCTGGTTCGAGTAGAATTAATTATTTGATTCTTTACTATGCCCTATCTAAGAATTGAAAAGGTGTGATAAAGTTTCCTTATACTTATCATTGATACAGTTTCTGCTATAATCATTTGATATATTAATATTCGTTATTGTGACCTGATGAACTATTGCACAAGATGATTCCTCGATTTTCTTTATTGAAAGTGAAGAAGTGGAGAAGTAAATGAAGGGTTGGAATCTTCTACTTAAAAGAAGTAAAAGTATAGATGATTCTTCGGTAAGAAAGAGACTCACTTTCTTTATGGAAAGTGAAGAAGTGGAGAAGTATTCACTTTAAATGAAATGTTGGGATCTTCTACATAGAAGAAGTTATATATATATAGTTATATATATATCCGAAGTATAAACATTCGGAAGTCTTAGTTAATTTTTAATTATTTTGTGATCATTTTAAAACATAATTGTTTGTTATATATCAATTCAATTATATAGAATTGAACACATTTTTGTGGATCTTCTGACTATTAAATAGTTTAAAAAACCAGATAGAATTTTGGTTTAAACTAAATGTTTAATTTAAATGTACACTCGAACAATGACTCCATTAATTGAACTTTTTTTTAGCGAATAACAGTCTAGATGTTCGTGCAATCGTTTTTTCGTTTTTTGATACTCTTCGTAGTTTACTGTAAAATAGATCTTTTTCATCATAATCTACCTCTTCTGTAGGTGCATAACATTTCACGACAGTCACCTTCGTGTGCTTGTCATTGAGATGAGCTACAATTATGAGTTCTAAGATCGCTTTTCAAGATAACAGAGCCTTCTTTACAATCTTGCTTAGATATATCCCGATCAGAGTATATAAATTTACAGCCATTATTATTGCAAATTTCTTCGCTTACGTGAAGTAACTTCGAGTGGATCTACTTTAAGCCCTTCGCACTCGACTGAGAGTTGAGCAAATTTTGTGTGATTGGTGTAGCGTGTGTACATTCCATTGTCCAATTCGTATCCGTTTACCGTTGCACAATGTTGTTATCGTTGTGTTGTTCCTTACCCAGACAATTCTTCTTTTCAGAACTGGAGTCCAATAGTATGTCAGACTTAATGGTGGATTAAACCAGAGCGCCCCATTTCGTTGACAGGGCTGCTGTGTGAGCAATGATCAATGTTTACAATGATTTATGTGATCCAGCCCTTTGAACTTGCCTATAATTCCACGTTAGTATATAAGTTTATTATTAATTAATTATTAATTATTATTAGTTTAATATTAATTAGTTTAATTAATTAATATATTTAATTACATTTTGTGATTAAACTTCACATCTAAGTTTTGCCATTGTAAATGCGTTCTCTTGAAATTTTTAGTAAAAAATTTAATGTATTTTGAATTCTACTAAATTTATTTTTGATTTATAAACAATTTTTTCTAACATGAATTTGGTTTGCGAGCAATTTAACTTTAAGTTTTATACCAAAGCCTTTAACTATTAAATCAATTTAGTTTTAAAATAAGCTGTTTGTGGTTAATATCTAAATTCGTCTAAAATAACTTCCTAGTACCAAATTTACTAAAATTACTATATATTGAATATTTATTAATAACGCTATTTGTTTTAAAACAAAATAAAACAAAACAAACAACGTTCAAATTCACTACCAAAAATGGCAAATCAATTATAATATAATATGCGAGTATATATAGACATGTGTCAGCATACCATTTGATAGCATATGTTTAATCAAAACTAGCTGAATACGAGTATCGTATCGTAACTTCAAATATACACATACATTCGTACGTTAATCAAGATACAGATAGATTTCGTATCTGGCTGCCTATTCGTAAAACATCTAACCGTATTTATACTGTTAAGCTGCCTTTTGTTCGTACATATGCATATTAGTTAACAATTTTCAAACAATCGAGAATAATTTATTTGCTTGTATATTTAATAATATTTTTCTCTGTTTTTGTTGTTGTTTTTTTTAATGTTTTTATTCACTTAACCGCTTAAAAACAGTTTGAAAAAGCTTTTGGCTGCTGTCATTGTTGCCAATTGTATCTGACGTTGTTGTTGATGATGCTGCCAAACAATGCCAACAATGCCAACAACAAGATACAATTACGTACATACGTACACACATATAAATAGTTTTGTTCATGTTTTTAGACTCAATTTAATGTGGTTTCTAGTGTTCTTATATGCTTAGCACTTTTTACTGTTGAATTTGGGTTATTATTTCCTGTTTCCTGTGCTCAAAAGTTATAATTTAAAATGAATTAAAAGTTTAAATGAATCACACCAAAATCTAAAATATGTTCACTGCAAGTAAGTAAGTAATATACTTCACAAAGTATCTACAAACATTGTATCTTTGTAATAATTATGTTGTCCGCAGCACACACTGAGACGTTAATAAAAATAAATAGCGCGATTTTAAAAGTTTAAAGCGATTATTAAACAAAAACTTGTAAATTGCTATTTAGGCAATTGCAGCTGTCGAGCTGCTATGTAATTTATGTATGTGGCTTCAAAACAAAAAAAAAAAAAATAATGGAAAAAAATATAATAAATTGATATATCTCAACATACTTTTTATGTATAGAAAAATAACATTTTTTCTATTTTTTTTTAAATGCCACAAACGGCCTTGCCAAGGCTCTTTTTTTTCAATCATGTTCTCCTTTCGAGTCAAACACTTTTATTTCTGTTTATATGATTTTTTTGCATTTTTATGTGATATACATATCTTTGCTATTAAAAAATTTCAATATTTATTAGAATATTAAAAAAAAACGTGGTAAAATTGGTAACTTCAATTGCAATCAGCGTGGTTCACTTTTACGTATCTATTTTGTACCTTGGTATCATTGTATCTCTCGTACCAGCGTGTATCTTATTAAATGTAGTTTAATCTATTTTGTGAGTTGTTTCGCCGCTGCGGCCATTTGCGATTGTGTTTTTATTTTATTTTCCTTATATTTTCTTTTATTTTTATATACAGTTTTTATAATAATTTTTATATATGGACAGGTGTTTCTAACGATAAATTAACACGTACGCGTGCAATCATGGATTGTTACTTGTTATTGTTGTTTGTTTGTTGCAATTGCTGCTGAAGTTACTGTTGCAGATATTAATGCAGTTAAATGCCGAAAGCATTTTCATATCCATTGTAAACGAGCTTTTCAAAGATATTAACACATTTTATGCGTATTAAACTTAATAGAATAACAATTTAATTGATTAAAAATTCATACAAGAGATTCTAAAATCTTTTTATTTATCTTTATACTTGCAAGTGCTTAATAAACACATGTTGTTGTGTCAAGCCTTACAGATATATGTATTATAAAATTTTAGAATAATATTTATTTTTGATATAAATACTATAATAATCGATTACATCGATTCATTATATAATTCAGCAATGCATATTTTAAACTATAATGATTTTTTATATTAACTTATGATATAATAGTGAATCATAATCTTGTAGACGTTATAAGGCCCGATATAACTTTAAATGCATATGAGTTATTGATTAGTGCTTGTTATACTTCTGTTATACCTTTGTACATTTCCAGCTCATTTTAAGTTCCTTGAAAATGTTTGTCCAGATCATGGCATAAAAGCTAGAAATAAGGTTTATGATCATACTTTCGTTTGTTATATTTTAATATGATTGTAATTATAATTATTATAAAATGGGGAATACTGCCAATCAGGTATGTTAGTCCTACCATAATCCCCGATGAATAAACTTTTGTTGAATGTTAGCACTTTTATCGGTTTTTGTTTTGTTTCATATGTTGTACGAGGCAATAAGTTAGCCTAATGGCGGATAAGTGTTAATCAACACTTATAGCTCTATGAAAAGTAGAGTGGCTATTAAAAAGTTTAATTTAATTTTTCATTTAAAAGAAAAATTTTAAACTTATCCTGCAACGCCAACTTTATCTATTTTCCATTGTCGCAATTTTCTACCCCCCGTGGTGAAGGGGTTTGAATATTCCCATGGTAGGTATGCCTGTTGTAAGAGTGTAGAAGAAAAATTCCAGGGCCACGCCGATCGTTGTGCGAGAAGTGTGCATGGTAGTAAGTGTTCCGCCCCACTTGCGACACTTCACCAGACATTTTAATGATAGGTGTGCGGTAAGATCTCTTCGCTCTACATATAAGGCTCAATTCACATATATGGGACTCAAAACTGTATACCCTAACAGTCAGTGTTATACTTTTTTATTAGCAATATTTTGATATAAAAATTATAGAATAATATAATAAAATACTTCATTCAGGGTTTTGCTTTGTGTATTTAAAAATTATTCCATTGCCAAAGTTGTTTGTCTGTTTTGAATTTTGGATATAATTTATTCTTTAAATTTTTAAAATTTTTTTCTCTTAAATTAATCGTTCATTTGTGGTAAAATTAAGCAAAAGCAAGTACAAAGTTTTTTTTTTATAGGAATATGTTAATTAGGAAAGATGACGGCAAAATTTAACAACAAATAAGCACAATCGAAATGTGGTTAACCATATTTTAATGCAATTAAATATTTCAAATGACGTAATTAATCGAAGAAAAGAGCAAAATTCACATGTGGGTAACATGTGAACAGCTTATGTTTTTTTAGATACATTTCAAAGTAATAAGTATATTTATGTTAGCAAGATACTTATTAATTTCTATGAATAATAATACCTAATTAAGTGCAATATTTTTATTAAAGAATATTATATGCAGGTAGTAAGAACTCATTAAATATACTTTGACTGCTATTTTTAGTTAAAGAAATTTAAAAAAATCTTACAGTTAATTAGGAGAATGTTAATTATGATATATTACAATACATAAAAAATATTTATATACTATTAACACTGAGGAAGATAGGTGAGCTAAGCACTTATATAATTCTTTATACGAGTATATTGGTTGGTAATATTCAGTTAATTATTTTAGCTAATAAACTTTGTTATATATTACTGTTTATTAATAATTTTATTATTTTTGTAATAATAATAAAATTTTGCAAAGAAAGTAATTTGTTACAGCAATTAGTTTCTTTCATGTGAATTAATAACATTTGCTGCTGCAGGCAGTGCACCCAAGCAAAGCATCAGAGTCTTAACCATAAATTTTTAAGTCGCTTGTATTTAATTTTGTTTTAATAATTAATTACGATTTTTAATTAAATTAAATGTAAATATTATATTAATTGAAATTTTAATTGTGTTTGATATATTGATTTAGACAAAAAGTTATTAATTTTATTTTTAGTGAGTTTGACAAGCTGAACAAAACCGATGTATATTACAACAATGAATTGGCCTTCACCACTGCCGAAAAGTATCTTGGCATACCCGCCCTTCTAGATGCTGACGATATGGCCGCCTATGAAGTACCAGATAGATTGTCGATACTCACATATCTTTCACAGTTTTATCAAGTATTTGCTGCACAAGGTAAGTTCAAACAATATTTAATTTAATTAAATTTTAATGGCTTGGCCTCGTTTAAATAGAGCGTAAAAATTTCTAATAAAAAGTTTTTTAATAAAACTAATCCACTTAGTTTTATTTGTTTTAAATTTAAAACAAATAAAAATAAAACATACTTAATATATAATTTAATAAATACTTAAGGCTATAGTGTAACACGTTATTTTTAAAATAAAAATGCGTCATCTTTTTTCATTGCTGTTAGTGTTCCAAATCAGATATGATGGACTGCTTTCAGATGTCTATATTATGAAGTTATATAGTTGTTGTTCAGAAAGCAATATACTATTAAAATAAAAAGACTAATCCAGGGATTTAAAAGTAAAATACAACAGTTTTCATTTAATCACATATAAGTAATTTATAAATGAAAAGTAATATTATTTCCTTATGTCGCTTCTTATCTGTGATGATCAATCTATATTACTAACGACATTGGTAAAAGTCGTATTGGCAGATTGTTATGTTATAGATATGTTTTATTATAACTATATACATATGGTCATTAATCTAAAATACTATAATACTAATCAAATTAGTATAGAGAAATTATTTCTTTTAATAAGAAATATTAAATCGAAGGTATTGGTAGTGAGAGCCTTTACTACGCGCTCTCCAGTTAGCAGAGTACTTCTAGTACTAAATCGTGATAAGCGTTATGTCTGGAAACCGTTGTGAGCATAAAATCTCAAATATGTTCCGACAGCAGATTAGTTTGAGTGGTAAATTAGTATGTACATTGTATATATCTGCATTATATACGAGGTACATGTCTATATGTATGTCTAACTCACTGTATGTCTATATATTTGTTTCTTAGTTGTTTGCTAGTACCAATTCAAAGTAAATATTGGTGAAAGTAGCTTTATTTGATCTCAATTTGCAGTGCAAAGGGATTCATCCACTTAATATAATATAATTAAAAATGAATACAATACGGTCTATAGGGTGTGTAAACATTGCTGTCGAATTAGAATGTAGAAGATCCACTTGCATAAATTAATTTGTTGGTTTTGGGCAAGAGTTCGGTTCGGTGCTGATATCAGTGTTTACAGTATTTACACTTGAATATGTTCAGAAGCGTAAAAACCAGCAGAACCGAAGTGGCTGAATTGAATTGAATGCAACCTGTGTGCATTTTATGTGCCTCATTTTTGAAAACTTATTTTGCTTTTTTTTAAACAATTTTTTATATTTTTTATCTTTTTGTATATAATTACAAAAGCGGAACCGTTTGCATATGTGGCATGTGGCGTACTTTACTGTATGCGTTTTGATGGGGGAAAAATTTGTTTAGCCTATATTTTTTTATACAATTTTTCACAAGTTTGATGCACATTAATCTGCACTATGTGTGCCGCCTATATACGAGTGTATGGTATGTGCAGTTAGTCGGTTTGAATACCGTGTTGCTTGCTATTAGTAACAAGTTCGTTATTATGCGATGGGTTTAGAAGTGGTTCCGTGGTTCCATGATGTGAACATGCACTGATGCATTTGATGATTTGTGGCAGGTAGAACTGTATTAATTACAGTGGGTGTGTCGCTTAATTATTAGCGAGCGAAAAATAAAATTAAATATAACATGAACACAAAAGAAAAAAATAATAAAATTGATATGAGCGAAAATATCTTAAATTAACCAATTCAGTAAAATAAGTGCAATTTCTTGGTGCCAGTATTTGCCGATAATAATATTTTGATGTGAAATTATAAATATTACATAACGAAATGCTACTGCCACATGCACCTTCCTATAACCTCGGTGCCATAACACAAGAAATGTAGTAATTTTATAATTTAAAGAGCGCATCTCAAAAAGACAACAATGCCACCAAAGTTTGCCACAATAACAACAGCAACAGCAAAAATAATAACAACAACAATAATTTAAAGTTGCAAAGTTTGTAGTCTGTGGGAACAACATCATTAAAATGATTATGCAATTGTGCAATCACACTGCAATGAAAACTACCTATAAGAATACTAGCTGAAGCCCCAAGTCTGTGCTGTACGTAATGAATTACGAGGTACATACGTAATAAAACAAAGAAAAAATTGAAATTTTAATACCTTTGGAGATGAAGTCTACTCTACGTATATGAGTATCTGAGTATCTGAGTATCTTCTTATTACTTTGTAACATAAAAATTTCAAACAATTTTGTTATTGTAGCGCAGGCAAAAAAAACTTGACATTTATTGCATTTATTGTTGTTGTTGTAGTTTTTTGCATTGTTGCAACGAAAACTTTTAAAACTTTTAAAACATTTAACAACTGCAACAGCAATAACAATTACAAAATGTTGCTGATCTGCAGTTGACACACTTTTGCTGTGCGCTGTTTATTGCAGATGCAATTGTTGCAGTTTAAGTGCTTTTCTTCCAGCAACCAAAAATGCTGCCACATGCTCTTGGCATATACCATTTACTGTTGCTACATTTCAGGGTGGCTATGAAAACTGCTGCTGCTGCTTCTGCTGCTGTTGTTGTTGCTGCTTCTTCTTATTATTATTCTTCTTTTGATTAGTTTTCAGTTAAGTTTTGTGTACAAAGTATCGTAACTATAAACATAACCTAAGGCCTTTAGACTGCTATGTTTGCTGCTTATCGCAAGTGTCTATTTCTGTACCGAGCTGCATTAGTAAATCACGATTTTTTAGTCAATGTCTTCGATGGCTGAGATTTGCGAAAATGCTTACAGCTAAAGCAACGTCTTCTCAACGTTTCAATAATTATTTTTATGTAATGGAAAAAGATTTTGTAATTCTGAATTTTATTAATTTAATTTCAATTTGTTTGCCGTATTTAGTTTGACCTTCGAATGGTTAATAATTGAACTGTTGCATTACTTCATTTTGTTAAAAAATTTTTTCTAATACAAATATATATTATGCCTAAACTCGATTTGGGTTGCAACGGCATTGAAGAAAAGAAGAATGCCTTATTATCTTAAAACGTTATCTGCAGTCATATATGTGATTTTGATAGTTATTAGTTATTCGAACTTAACGTTCTAATGGACAGTTTTAATGGTATGTACCGGAACCTTACCCGAAACTGAAGCACAAAATAAAAAAATCCTTCGTGGGTATTTTATATCGAATGAAGAAATAATACTCTGTAAGATAGGTTGAAATTACAACTTATTCGGGAAATTGGACTAAGAGAAACATTATGAATTCTTAAAGATCTCTAATTTGTACTGTGAAATGTCTCAATTTAATAATAATGATATTATTATGTAGTTCACCTTTAAATCTAATTAGTTTTGCAATCTATTCTTGTCTAAAGTATCGTTTTTTCCCAGAATTATTAGTGGAAAAAACTAACAATTTTGACAAAATAGTCTCAAAATACGATTATATATTTCGATTGACGGTGTTTTAACTATTTAAATTGACAGAAACCCAAATTACTTAAGCAAATTATTACTAATTATGAATATTTGGTGATATCTAAAATAGTTCGGTGATCAGTTCAAAATTTCAACAAATTGATCTTGTTATAGTTCGATCATTTCTGGAGCATTTTGTTTAGTTTGCTCTTCCTTAAGAATAGTGAGAGAATATAGAGTTATTTATGAGGGGTTCCAAGATATATATAGATTCAATCGTTCGCGGAACCTTTTACTGTTGTGTTTTCCCTATTCTATTTAAATTTTATGGAAAAGTCATCTTAGCAAGTATTTTGAGTTTCTCTTTTAACAACAAGGAAAAAAAAGTAATTCATACATTTTTAATTATTTTTAATTTCGTTTTTTACATCAGTAACTTTAATTTTTGAATGCACTTTAAATTATTTTATCAATAAATAATATTTTCCCCTTAATGTCCTTATGGATTTTTGGATTTTTTGTGGATTTTATTAAGAAATATTGATTTTCATATGCAATCAATAATGTTGAAAGTGTTCATAAATTTCTTTACCAACTTTTATTATTAATTAATTTTTTATAACTATCAAAAGCAATTTATACATTTCCATAACAAATATTTTTGAACCACCTCTGTATAGTCTGTATAGCCTGTATAGACCTGCAGAGCACAGAAGATTTTTCTTTACTTTCATTTTCATTTTACTTTGCGCAACATTGAAAAAGATTCAAACGATCGTTTGATCGTCGTTCATTGCCTTTCAATTTCAATTTCAATTTCAATTTTAATGCAATAACAATAAGGCGAAGCCAACGTACGCCAAGTTACTTGTACGTGCAAGTATGACCTCAGATTATAGAAAAATACTCAACAACTGCCATATGCCCATATGATTAATCTCACGCCACTCTCTTTTCCGTCGACACCCAATTTAAATATCAAGATTCAATGTGACTTACTGCAGCAAAGCCCAAGTGTGATCTTTTGATTATGGACTACGCTGTCATAAGCAAGGAAGACACATTATTATTTTTATCATTATAGTATTATGAATATTATTAAGTAATTGAAAATTATTACATTTTAACGTTGATGGATTGTACTTTAAAAAGTACATCAGAGTACATTGCAACTGCATATAAATCTAGTAGAAAAACTATTACACTTTTTTATATTTTCTATATTGCGACTTTTAAGCCTCAGATTTTGTTAAAACTTATAGAATACCAAAAATATTATTAATAATAGATTTTTCAAGTATCCCAAATATTATAGAGTATATGATTAAAAATTTGATCCAAAGGTTACTATATAAAAATAACCAGAAAGCAAATTCAGCTATACATAAAATGATTAACAATTTGTGAGTAGTCTAAAAAGGTGCTTCTACTTTCACTATACTTATAACAAGTGGTGTCCCAAAAGAGAATTCCAATCAGTCTATACTGAGTACCTAGTGATGTCTAAATGTATATTTTAACTGATTGATTAGATAACAGACTGATAGATTTCCACTCTAACTATTTTGAATATCTAATGTGGCTTCAATAATAGCTTTCGATGTGACTATACTGATCCCTATTGTATC